ATTTTGGGGCCTCGAAGAAAAGGAAATTATGCGCACACTCTTAGACGGAGTCACCCTCAAACTCGTTCACACCCGTATTGAATAGTTTTTACTCGGGACATATTTTAGCGACATTTTCACAGCTTGAAGTAAACTTGATGGAAATTCTTTGAATAAACTAGAATATTTATCTTTTGTTTTTCAATAAAAAGCATTCTTTGAGAATTACCACTATCTTATTTTTTGCAGACCAAATTAGGACATTTCAGCACAACTGTTGTATACAAAAGAAAAACTGATTTTTTTAACCAGCTTTATAACAATAAAACAACCAAAATAAATATGAGCTAGTCATCTTGATATAATTTCAGTTTATGAAACAATTTAAAAGTTATAATATTGAGAAAATTAAAATCACTGCTTTATAAAAAATTCCAAGATTTTAACATTCTGAACTAAAATCAAACATTATCTACTTGAAATTCAATGACACAAACTAAAACATTCTTTTCATTGCTTTGCTTCCTGCAAAGTCAAATAAATATGTTTGCCATATTGATATCATTTCAGTTTATGAAACTGTTTAGAAGTTATAACATTTAGAAAATGAAAATCCTTTCTTCATAAAAGCTTGAGGGGACCTACAAGCCTAAAGGATGTATCCTGCCATGTTCGCATAGCAAAGATTGTTTCTGCTAGTCCGCTGAAACACGTCATTTTTATCGGTGACCGCCACATTGCACTATGTCATGGCTATTTGCAGCCTATTGATAAGTCTCCATTTTCTTCAACAAACATGGCGTAGCTTAGATAATCGTGTCACCGGGTTCAAGTTTTACAGATTAGGTTTGAGGAACTTTCTGGAGAGGATCTTTCGAGGAATGTTCTGATCACTACGGCAGGGGCCCGATTGAACTTTTGTTTTTTTTAATATAGTGAAGATGTCTATTCGGACGTAAGATCCTTCACTTACAAATATCATCAACCCGTTGACAATTATTGAAACAGTATAGCTCAACATCTCCCTGGGGAACTTCTTAATACATGTAGAATCGATGCCACGTCGATTTAATTCATTCGACGGACGATAAGGGATCCTATACTTTACCAGGCACCTATCTCATGACCTTTGGCACGCCAGTGTATAATGAAACATTCTAGGGATTTTTTTTTTATTAGATCATCATTTATTCCGACTGGTATCGTTATTTTTGATTTGATAAAAATAAATTTCGGTTGAAGTTATCTTCAGTATTCAAGGATTGACTCCAAGCCTAAGATAATGAATGCATTATCACAATTCCATTAATTTGATTGGTTCATTTGTTTTCTATGGATTATCAACTCTTTCCAGTTTATTTAAAGCCAGAAAATATCTTTAGATTGTGAAAATCTTTTTGTAAGATGATTTAGTGATACAAGTCATACTAATTAACCCATAGTGGGGAGAAGAGGCGGATTCATACATAATCAGAATTTGATAAACAAACAAGAAATTATAATGTGGATATAAAGTGGGGAATCAATTCTGACTATATACCCGAAATGAGGAATTATGATTACTTGCATTATTTAAATTATTCAGACTGTTATCCTCATCTTCATTGCCATATTCACAAGGATTCGGCCGTTGTACTCTTCGGCCTTTATGTCTATGTCTCTCTATATATCTGTCTATATCTCTGATATGAGGTATCATGATTACTTGCATTATTTACATTATTCGGACTGTTATCCTCGTCTTCATTGCCATATTCACAACGTTCCAGCCGTTGTACGCTCCGGCCTTCTTCAGGTGATTATAATTTGGAACCGAACCATTTATTTATTTCTTAGGGAAGTAATTGAGACGTCTCGAAGAGGCATGGCACGTGGAACTAGAACAATCTACCCTCGGTAGACAAAATAAAGTGTTCGGTTTGAAATTCCAATCACTGGCGAGAAATTGGCGACTGGAAAAGAGAAATTGGCAACACGAAGAGAGAAATAAGCTTGACGACACTTCACAGATATCTCTCCCGGGTAAGACACCCCCATAGAGGAGAACATTACTAAAGACTGTGTGTACGCTATCCCGTGCAGCTGCGGAAAGAAATATAAAGGGGAGACGGGCCGCCCCCTCAAGGTAAGGCTTCAAGAACACCAGAAAGCTGTAACACGAGGGGAAGTGGAAAAATCAGACACCACATATGGAGAGAGAAGGGAGATCACCACCCTCTGTGGGATCAGGTTGAGATCATAGACAAAAAAAAACTCCTGTGAGTATCAAATTTTCCAAGCCCTTTTTCATCAGACTGTCTCTATCTGATGTTAAGAATAAGTGTCCTTTTTGTTTCCATTTTCTTTAAAACCTCAGATATGTCCTGTCCATGGTATTCTCAGTATCCTTCTGTAGAACTATATTTATGTCACATGTGAGAAGGTCTGTCCAGCACTCACTGCCATATAGCTGTACTGATATTACGTAATAGCTCAGTAATCTTTTCTTTGTTTCTAACAAAATGTTTTTAATACTTACTACGTTGCTTAGCTTTTAGAAGGCATCTTTCGCTAAATTCTAATTTATAGTAATATTATTTTGGTATTAAAGTAATATAGAATTCAGTTAAAATAGAAAATTATAATATTTTATCAAGGTGTGTAACCAGAATCCATTTTAATATTATTTGCTTTAAGTTTGCCTATCACCTGATTCACACTTCTCCCCGGTCTTTTGAACGGAAGTAGATGTTTATCACTTGTTTCCTGTTTAGGATTGAGTTTCCGGTGTCTTTTCATTCTGTTTCATTTTCAGTAGCCCCTTGTGTAGAGATTTTCCAAGCGTAGCTTAGATGTGGCACAAGGCCGAAAGTACGGGGTATCCAGTGAGGATCGAACTCACTTTTCAGTAGTAACTGATCTAGCAAGACTAGCTTGCCGAGGTGCCCCAGTAGCCGCTTGTGTATTAGTGGCCTTATCATCTTGCTTGGGGCGAATTGTTAAAACAAATGGTTCGTGGAACTCGTTATGTGAGGTGAAGGAGTGTTTTTAAGTCCCACTTCCGATGATCTAACTGTGTAATTATGGTGATTGGAAAAAGTTATTGTCATCAGATGTTCAAAACTTAACTTGTAAGTCATGTATCTTGTATAGTGTGAATATGAGAGACCGTTACATCCAGAGTGAATCAAAATTGTTATAACTAGTATAAAAGGAATTATTTATTCAGAGTTTACTGAACAGTCTCCACCCGTCCACCAGCACGATTGATGAACAAAAAACAGTGATCAACAGTACAATTAAGTGCCTTGACACACATTTCATGGGGGATGTTTGATATTCCACCTTTTATTCTCTCTTTGAATTCGCTAGTGTTTTTTTCTGTCTTTGAATTTGGTGTTAACAGGGCGATCCTGGTGGCTCTTCTGCTCCTATGTCTCATTGAAGCTAAAGAATACTGGACTGAACCGCTGAATAAGCGTCAAATAACACCTGCATTGATGTGATTTGAGTCCGTGTCATTTTCCAGTCGTCTCTCGTAAACGACTTGTGGTCGACCATTGCGCTATATAAGGTGTTGGAAAAATGTCAAATGTCCCCACAATTATAGAAACAAAATAGTCTGTCCGTCTGTTACCTATTATCATACCTCACTGGAACTCCAATATCTCATATTACCTTTACCATAAATAACCTAAACGTTGATCACGCTGATTCACCTGATATTGTAGAACTAATATAAAGGGTGTCCATAAAGTTCATGTGCACTTTAAAAAATTTATAACTTTATTTGTATTTGTGATAGAAATAATCTGTAAAAAACTTTATAAAGTTTAATGTACCTAGTTTTAAGTATAGCTATAATAACTAATGCGATTTCAGGCATTACTGTAAATCAGCTGGCAAATGTTTTCCGTGAACTACAAAATCGTATTATCCTTTGTATTTGCTAATGATGGAGGATATGTGGAAAGTTAAATAAAATTTCAATAAAACCTTAAAAAATATAGATTTACTTCTTTCTAATCCTTTTTACAAATTATTTCTATCGCAAAGACAAATAAAGTTATAAATTTTTTAAATGCACATGAACTTTATCGACACCCTGTATATGTGGTGATTTTCCAAGCGTTGCTTGGATGTGGCACAAGGCCGAAACTAGGGGACACCCAGTGAGGATAGAACTCACTATTCAGTCGTAACTGTTTTAGAAAGACAAGCTTTCTGCCCATTACACCACGTCGAGGTGCCCACACCCTGAATATGTGTGGGCATATCTATAATACAAAGTTACGGTGGTTCCACCGACCATTACCTTTCCATACTGCTATCCAATGACTTTTGACATATCAGTGTATATTAAACGGAATTATTCAGGGGAGGTTATTGCTGTAAAATAATCTGGGACATGTATTACAATTCAAGGGCCATGCAGCGTGGCATTTGTTCATGTTGTGTAACACGTGAGTCAGGTGATAAGATATGTCGGTCATTTAATATAATGTGGCGTAACAATTTTGTGCATTATGTGGAAACTTTAAATAAATAAACAATTGTCTTTCGAATAAAGCATAGAAAAGCAAACATTTGAAGAAGTCGGGCGAAAAACAAAAAATACAAATGCTATTGGGGAACGTGAAACTCGGCGATATTTTGATTGTTATCGGACAAGAAAATAGATAAAGACAAATTGAAATGTTTAGCACGGAGAGATTAGGATCTCCAGGGGTAGAATTGGATAAGGTGAGTGTGTTAAAAAGCATTTACCCTCGGAATAGATTTTTTTTTTTTTTGTCAAAATACAGGCAGAATACTCTCTTTCCAGAAATGTTATAATCTCATAATTCAACTGACCAATTTCCATTTATCTGTCTGTCCATCTATCTCAGTTTTTTATCTATCTCAATATATATATATATATATATATATATATATATATATATATATATATATATATAGCCATATCTCTCTCAGTCTGTTCATTGCTATCTATCTATTTATCTCAGTTTGTTCATATCTATCTAGCTAACTAGCTGTCTCAGACTGTTCATATCTATCTATCTATCTATCTATCTATCTATCTATCCCAGCCTGTCCATATCTATCTCTCTCAGTCTTTTCATATCTATCTATCTATCTATCTATCCCAGCCTGTCCATATCTATCTCTCTCAGTCTGTTCATATCTATCTATCTATCTATCTATCTATCTATCTATCTATCTATCTATCTATCTCAGTCTGTTCATATCTATCTAAATATCTCCATCTGTTCATATCCATCTATCTTAGTTTGTTCATATCTACCTCAATTTGTTTTATATATATATATATATATATATATATATATATATATATATATCAGCCATATCTCTCTCAGTCTGTTCATTGCTATCTATCTATTTATCTCAGACTGTTCATATCTATCTATCTATCTATCTATCTATCTATCTATCTATCTATCTATCCCAGCCTGTCCATATCTATCTCTCTCAGCCTGTTCATATCTATCTATCTATCTATCTATCTATCTATCTATCTATCTATCTATCTATCTCAGTCTGTTCATATCTATCTAAATATCTCCATCTGTTCATATCCATCTATCTTAGTTTGTTCATATCTACCTCAATTTGTTTATATATATATATATATATATATATATATATATATATGTGTGTGTGTGTGTGTGTGTGTGTGTGTGTGTGTGTATGTATGTATCTTAGCCTGTCCATATCTATATCTCTTTCTGTTCATATCTATCTATCTATCTATCTATCTCAGTCTTTGTATCGTTGCTTCTTCAGATGATGATTTGATAATGATTCATCCGGTCAGTTCTCTAACTGTCATCAGGTTCTCTTTATCTTAACCGCCTGCCTTTTCAAGACGATTCTGTTGGTTATTGTTTGTTAAGATTGGAATCCTTTACATCGGATTCCTGCTGTTTTTACTTTCCGCGTAAAACAAGAAAATCAACTACAATTTACTACACTGCATTAAACAATTCAATTTTACGAAGCAATTATAAAAAGTCAATCTCCGCTAAATAGTTTGACAAAAAAAGTAGCAGATATAGTAACTCAATCATTTATATTCACAAAAATAACATTTATAGCAATAAGAATTTATGCCAGAATATAAAGACCCATTTACAAATATTAGGTTGGCTAGAAAAGGCCTGGCTCTCTTAGGAAGAGAAAAGAAAACAACAAAATTTTATGGAGCACACCAATATTTATTCTTCAAAATGAAGTCCATTATTCTTGATGATCTTCTATCAGAGATTAGCCAACTTGCGTATCTGATTCAGATATCAGTCCGCTGGCTTTGAATAAGAAAAACTGTAAACATGCTTCGTTTATTTCATCAAAAGTTTTGAATCGCTGGTCGCGGAGGAAGTGTACCATTGAAGGGAATAGGCTATAGTCATTCGGAGCAACATCAGGACTGAATAATGGACGTGGAAGACACTCAGCATCGTCCATCTGTTTGAACTTCTTATTCAACCTGCCAATGTGTGGCCTCGCATTGTCTTGCTGAGACAAAGCCCAACCTCGATGAGGATAACAGTCCGAATAATGTAAATGTTATGGGGTCCACCCTTTTCGGATATAATGGACTCGTCCTGCTGCCATAAAATATCCACAGTCAGGCAGAGAAGAGGAGTCGTACATGAGTCGTACATGAGTCGTACATGAGTCGTCTGTGAGTGTCGGTAGTCGGATAGAGTGAAGTAACCTCTTGTAGAAGTCAGTTACAAGCACGTAGACTCTAAGGAAGTCCTACTTCGAGACTGTATATATCTATCTGTATTTGCTACTAACCGTGTTCCTGGATTTTACTAACAGAATTACCTTTTGTATTTTGTGTAAATACATTTAATTTCTTAGCTTAAATACTTGCGTTTGTCATTTATTGGATACCTATTTTTCACGTGGGATCCACAACAGTAAATAATGCAAATAATCATAATACCTGATCTCAGAGATATAGACAGATATATAGAGAGACATAGACATAAAGGTTAGAGCGTACAACGGCCGAAACGTTGTGAATATGGCAATGAAGATGAGGATAACAGTCTGAATGATGTAAATAATGTAAGTAGAAATCATGTCGGATTATAAAATCAAATTGAAATATACAATTACAAGTAATCAGCGGAAAATCTCTTTACTCCTTTTGCAGGTTTTATATATGGACTACTGGGGAATAGGGGACGGAGGAATCTGGCCCTTCCAAATTCTTTTGCTTACGTTTAATACTTTTCTTTATTTATGGTCATTGACTGCGTAGGTAGCGTAGTAGAAATTTCCTTTCAGTTTGTTCTGTCCTTTCTGCTTCATCTTTTTGTACAATTTCAAACATTGCGTTCCTTTCACTCGATAAAGTTACAATATTTTGTTTTTCTTTTGGGATTATATCTTTGTTTCAGTCACTTTTTACCTATGTACCTGTAATTAAAGGTTAATTATCAGTAGTTTTAACGTTTTATGTATATGTACATTATCGTAAACAACACAAGATTTGCATAAAAAAATCTTACAGGACCAAAGAAATTATTTTAGATATTTTTATCAAAATAGGTAATATACGCTGATATTTACAGGTTAAATATAATACCAGTTTTATTGTGAAAATATTAACTGGCATAATAAAATTTAACATTGTAAACACACGCACACACACACACACACACACACACACACACACACACACACACACACACACACACACACACACATATATATATATATATATATATATATATATAAACATAAATAAACATAATACGTGTAATTTTTTTACCAAACCTGCTTTCATATATATATATATATATATATATATATATATCTTACGTATTATAAAACGCAGATTGTGTGTGTGTGTGTGTGTGTGTGTGTGTGTGTGTGTGTGTGTGTGTGTAACGTTTATATATTGGATCGGATTTCCTACATTTTTCAACCGATTTCAACAAAACTTCACAGGACTACATAAAATTAACTTGTGGTGGTTCTAACAGCGCCCAAAATGGCAAAAATATAATTGTTTTTGCACAAAATCAATTTGAAAACACGATTAAGAGACATCGTGAAAATGGAAGGGGGACAACTCACATTGGGTTGTTTGTGTGTCTGGGTTCCTTTAAATATGGGAGCGGATTTCCTATATTGTTCATCCGATAAAACAAAACTTCACTTTTTTTTTTTTTTGGCATGTAGTGTTTCTTATTCTCTTGCACATTTTTTTCTTTATTTTTAACATTCAGAATGCTTTTAAAATTCCATTTACAAGACAATTATTTATAATAAAATTCTATTCAATCAGGAGACTCATAACGATTGAAAACAATGTTTTTGTTTGAGTTTGGGTTTGACCAATTCGTAAAAAATAAAAAAACTAAAAAAAAAACTAATTAAGACATGCGTGTCCGTCAACCTTAAACAATAATCTAACGATCTCTACTGATTGTACGAATACAAACATCGGAATAAATTCTTTATCTTTAGGGAAAGATAATGAAATCTAAACATACACAAGTCCTAACTAAAAATAATAACCGAAATGGGAAACTACTTTGAATACACATGGTGTCCAATTTTTTTACTGTATTCAATAATTAAAAATCATAAATTTTAAAAGATTATTATTACAGAAAGGCTACTAAATGAATAAGATTTGTAAGATCATAATTAATAAACCCAAATAAAGTTAATATTTTTTGTATTAGAAACAACAAGTGGAAAATATATTCAAATCAGAATTCAAATTATGAATCACCACAAGCAAAATATGCAATTTTTTTACTGTATTCAATAAGTAAAATCATAAATTGTCAAAAACTAAAAGATTGCAGAAAGGCTACCTACATTTTTCAACCGATTTCAACAAAACTTCACTTTTTTTTTTTTGGCATGTAGTGTTTCTTATTGTCTTGCACACTAATTTTTTTTCTTTATTTTTACATTCAGAATGCTTTAAAATTCCATTTACAAGACAATTGTTTATAAAATTATTCTATTCAATCGGTAGACTCATAACGGTTGAAAACAATGTTTTTGTTTAAGTTTGGGTTTGATCAATTCGTAAAAAAAAAAAAAAACTAATTAAGACATGCGTGTCCGTCAGCCTTAAACAATAATCTTTGTCAATTTTATTTTTCAGTCTTTATGATGGTCGATACTTGATCTATCTCTTACTGTTATATCCCCGGGCAACGCCGGGCTCTACTGCTAGTATATATATATATATATATATATATATATATATATATATTTAAAAGAAAAAGAGACCACTTTAAGGTACCATTATAATAATTTATTTCACCAGAGCCCTTTTAAAGAACGCCGGATCATCAGATAGCACTTCCAAAAATGAAATGAAACGAAAAATGAAATTAAAATTGAAGGGTAGTGTAAGTTTATGTAATTTAACAGAGAGTGTAAAAGGGAGTGGTTAGAGAGACATGGTAGAGTATAGGGAGGGATTAATTTCATATCTCTTACAAGCATACTTTGCATTGGGGGAGGAGTGTATATATATATATATATATTGAACAATAAAAAATATTAAAAAATTAAAATCATCAGACACATTGGGTTGTATATTGATATTCTTTCATTTTTTTTTTATTATTTCATTTAGATTCCTCGACTAGTTTCGACCAACATGGCCATCATCAGGAGAAAAAATGTCTGCTTGCTGGTAGCAGTGAACTACAGAAATGAATGTCTTGAGGGAGAAAATGAACTTTTGGCTGGAGTTTTCATTTGTTTTTTAACATGAATTTTGGTCAGACCTTGTGTTTGTCAAACTGTCTCTTTTAAGTTGTTACGTATTATTTTTATTTATTTTAGTTTTAATCCTTTCAAGTGCAAAAATTATTTTCTTGGTGGCTGTAGAAAATTGATTAAGAAAAATTCCAAAATTTTCTTTCAAATAATTTCTATTTTCCCAAGTACTTTCAATCTCATCTTAGACCATCTTCAGGGGGTGAAAGTATCTGTGCATATGTACACTGTAGTTCCGTAAATTCAAAATATTTTTCACTGTTCATTTACAGAGTTCCGAAGTTCGAATTCGTAAATTTTTTGCGATGCAAGCGGGATAACTTTTATAATTTTTTTTTTATTTTATTATTTAAAAAATGAAAAAGATTATTAGTTTTAATATTCAATTTACTTACGTGGGGGTTGTTTGATTCTTACAAACTAAAATTGGTTACTTTTTACTAATACTTTATAGTTACAAGGGTCACGTGATTTTATTACCACGTGATCCCGGAAGTAGTTATAAGGGGAGGGGAAGTGTTTTTCTTCTGCCCTCATTGTTTACATTTACTTAATGTAAATTAGGCGGTCCCATTACGTCGCGGAAAGGAATCTTATTTCGCAACTTAAGGTAAGCGCTTTTGCTGCTTTTCTTCGGCCTGAAAAGTCTCTAGACTTGGGGTGGGGTGAGATTTTCTTGACAATAGTTGACTTTATTTATTTTTGGCAGTAATTCTCTTATATAAAGGGCTTTCAGTATGTTAGGTTATTTCTTTTCTTATTTTGATGAAGTACTAATACATTTTTGACTAGTATCTGTCTAACCTGTGAATGTGGACATGAGTGTTCCTTTAAATGTTCTGAGATTGAAATATGCTCACGTATATATATATATATATATATATATATATATATATATATGTGTGTGTGTGTGTGTGTGTGTGTTTAGGCAGCAATCTTTCTTTCATTCATCAACTGTTCGTTTTATCCGAGTGCTTTCGGCTATACATTTAGCCATTTTCAAGGTTGAAATATATTAAGTGTTAACAAAAAATAGATTAATTTCTTTCTTGTTATCAGCTGAAATAAATATATCGTC